AGAAAGAAGAAGTTGCATGGGATCTCACGACTCCCTAAAGGCAACTTTTGATTAGTTAATAATCCAAACAATTAAGTAATTGTTAAAACATTAAATCATGCAACGAATATTTTGTATGTGTGGAGCAATGATGGCCATCCATCTAGTGATATATTTAATAGTAATCTGAAAAATTGTCGATTCCATAGAAAAAAAAAAAAAAAGTAATTAAGTGCTGACTTCACATTGTGTCTTGACAATCGAAATCATAATACTAATGCTCAAATGGTTAGTATAGAGCCCTATAACGCCATTTCGGATACATATATGTTTATAAGTATGATCTTCTGGAAAATCTCTTTCTACGCCTTCGAGTCCAGCCTAAGTGTTTCCATGTTCGAATTTTTAAACTCTTTCCGTCTCAAAAATTATTATTGAATTGGAATATATTTTACAATTTCAACTAAAAATGAAAATCCAAATTGGACCGTCATTTCGAAAAAGGGACTTTGTATCAATTATGTTTCATAATATATAGAATATTAACATTTTTATCGAATTCCGGATTAATTCGTTGATCTTAGTCTTAATTGAAACACTATTACACCTAATACGCTAAGTCGTTAATACAGTGTTTCCTTCAAAAAATAAAAGAAAAGCGCTAATACAGTACGGTTAGAACTCAATTAGTGTGACCTAAAATGTCATTTTTGCCTCCACGCCGCATTTGTATATGCTCTCAGTCTCACACAGGCAACAGGAACCCTAGCTACTTGGCCAACCGAGTTGGACCACCATTGGGATCTTGATCTAATCACTTTTTTTCTCCCAAAAATTCAGCAATAAGATTAAAATGAGTCAGAGTGACCTCTGATTTTGAATGTGTAATTTTTGTGCAAAAAAGCAAACATACCTAATTGAAGCAGTTTAGTTGTACGTACTCATGATGATGATGAACCCAGCTATATTGTATTTCTCTAAAGCTATATACGTTAAACTAAAAACGTATACAAACAGACTGTGATTTGTTGAAACTCTTTAACAGGAAATATATTTTGTTTTTTTTTTAAAAAAAAATAACGTGGTGTTAAAAATTACTGTCTTAGACTCTTAGTTAATCTAAATTTTAATCTTATTAGTCTCTTTCGAGAGTCAACTCTAAAATGATTTCGACCGCCATTTTATGCTCTCATACTTCTGATATGGAATTTTGTTTTCCCTTTGAACAAATATATTTGGTTTTCAATATTACTTTCCACCATTGTTAATTCAATCACGCGTCCCTGGACATTTTCCACTCAATCTAATGCAATCATTTTTTTTTTCTTCCTAAATGAATGAATGAATATTGGGAGATCGCCACGATCAAATCTCCTATTGATCTAATATTTTAAATAAGTTTTGAAGGGGGTCTTCCCAGGTCAGGTGATTGTGTATGTTCCAGATAATAATTAGTATTGGATTCCTTATGCACTAATAAGTACACACAAATCTTACCCTTTTTTTCTAAAAAATAATGATGCTCTTGATTAATAATTGACTAATTTTAGGAAAATTGTATTATATAAACACATAGTAGTACATTTAATTCAGAACTTTTAAAATATTACATATTAATGGAGATTGGAGTGTACCAAACAATAATTACAAAGCGAAATCAAAGTACAGATTGAATTCTAGCCTCTTCTCCGGCATGCATTTGTGATGATGATTCAACTCAAATTAACGTTAATCCTCATCATCTCTTCGCGGCCGTATGCTCTCAGTGCGGAACAGGAAAGGCATAAGGAAGAGCGAGAATAAACATTGCAAAAATCCAAGCAATCGGTCCTGTTAATTTGTGCTTTCTAAATGATTATATGAAAAGAAGTACTCACTCTGTCTAAAACAAAATAATAATAATAATAATTTAACGTTGAGTTTTGAAAATTATATTAATTTTAAGATTTATATTAAAAATAGAATAAATATCGAAACTCATTGTGTACTTTGTTCTCTTATGGAAAATGTTTTTGCAGGTACTTTGTTTCTTTTTCCTTTTTTTCTTTTATTATATAGTGCACTGCATGCATAGTTCAAAAGAATATACGAGTCTAGAGAAAAGAAAAATGCAAAAGTTCTAAAAATAAGAATAAATTATATGGGCCATGCACCCTTCCAGGAGGGGAAATTAAAATAATGCGTTCTGAACAAATATTCTAATTTGTTGTACTAAAATTATTTGGAATAAAGGGAGTAATATTTTTTGAGATTCGTAGAAATATGATAACGGAGGTAATGAGGTGGGGTTTCAGGTCGCACTTTTGAGGGAAAATGTGGCTTTATTGAATCAGATTATGAGGAAAATTGCTTGGTAAAAGCTAAAAAGGGTGGCTTGGTGCTTAGAAACTGGGATCCTGCAAAAAGAAACAATTAATTAAAGAGTATATTGATTAAGGAAGAAAAAGTATTGTCCCTTTATTTCGTTTTGAACTAGCCACTCACTTTTCTCTCGTTTTTTTTTTTTTTTTTGGGTCAGAATGATTAATTATGAAAATTTCAATAACTTATCGTCATCATCACCACCTGGATAAAATGCTTCAGGCAAGTTTTTTTTTTTTTTTACACGTGTTCTAAGTTAGATGTTACATTAATTTTGATAAATTTGGAGTAAAAAAATCGAAATTCTGGTTATATAAAAATTTGTAAGATGCAAGAAGCTCGAGTAATTTGTCAGAGTCATCTTGAGTTCCAATTTCAAAACTAATTGGCAATGGGTGGGGTGGCCTTATAAACAGGTGGCAGATCTTTTACGAGACCGATGTGTGATTTTTTGTCTCAACACCCTCTCTCAAGCCTAATAGGGTATTTGGCCCATTGGGGTTGCACAATACAACATAATTCACCAAATATATTGTTAGGTTAGTACATAAGCTCGTATATACGGGTACATACTCCAGTTATACTGTCGGGTCAGTCAACAAGTCCATCCGTGCGCACGGAAGCGATTGATGAAAGTCGAAGACACATGGGTCCATGCTCGCACACGCGGGTCTATAATTATCACAGGTCTATAGATCGTGGGCTCTCATACCATGTCAAAGTCACCTTAGACTCACATCTTAAAACCAATTGACAATAAGTGGTGAGACTTTACAAACAGGTGACAAATCCTTCAGGACATTGACTGGGATTCTTTGTACCAACATAACTTTTGATTCTATTGCGCTAACGTCTGGATTAATTGATCAGAAGAGGAGACACAAAGTTTACTGCAGTGGTCTTGGTAGCATTAGTTACAAATGTTCTTGGAGGGTTTCAGAATTTTCAAATTAAATCTATCTATAAACATTAAATCGTTATTACAACACGACCTGATTAATATCGGTACTTCTTTTCTGTGTAATGTACTTTTACATCCTTATTATTGTACCCCCAAAAAAAAATTAAAAAAATAACAAGTCGTTGAGTAAACCACAAATTAGTCACAATAAATAATGTTTCACATTGGAAAAGTTACGCGTGCATCTCAGCCGTTTTCTCTCTTTCATCAACAAAGGCTTTTGTTTTTTTTTTTTTTTAATCCCTTCGAGCGGACACAAAGTGACAATGTACAGAAAAAATAGTTAAAGCAGCACAATATCCCGTCCTTTTTGGACCACAAAACACCAAATTAAACTTAAATCAGTTTCATAATTGTATGGGTTGTTAAAATATTTTAAGATCAAGGTTGCTTAAAGCATTAAATTAGCTTAAACTAGGATTTCTATAATAGCGAGACCCAATTGAAAATCATGGCGTTTCGATGGATTATTAGAAATTTTCTCAAAAAAGGGATGAAAAAAATAAAATAAAATCTGGACATTGAATTTTCCAGCTTCTATAATACATGTACAAATCATGTACATCCTAAATATCCTTCCAAAAGTTTCATACTGAGATATAGTATTTGATCATTACCTTTTCTATCTTGAAAAGATTATTGTATTTGTTTATGACAGTTATTTTGGGATGGAACAAAATAAATAAATTCAAAACCATCACTATCCATGCATGTAGAGAAGCATTCTACATTCTGCTTAATATAATGAAGAGCAAAAGTGAATGATTGAATTGAAAATATAATGTATTCAATAAAAAAAAATGTTGCTAGGTTTTACTTGTTCTTTTCTATTTGGCTGGTGAGTAGGGTTAGAAAAAAGGAGCAACATGACATATGTATATATACTATATATATAGAATATAGTAAGTTTTTGTTCATCGAAGAGCAATGTCAATGGCAGCTGGCCGGTAGATTCATGTCTGAAAAATCCCCCAAGAGGGGCATTTCTACCGTCTGGAGGGGAGAAAAAAAAAACACTCAGAATTTTGATGAAGACCAAAAGTTTGTATTCGCATAAATAAAATCACCGATGATCCTTCTTTTGTACATAGCTTAAAATTCTGTTGGTTTTTTTTTTTTTTTTTTTTTTTTTGGTTTAGATGAAATACGATTAATATATACTAAATGATTGCTTTGGTAGTATTAGAGTTCGTCTTGGCACAATGAAGAATGTGTGGTAATATACGTTTGAATCGAAATAAGAAGAAACTAATAACATTGTTCAAAAATCAATATGCAATGTACCATACATATGAAAGAAATGAGAACCAAATTCTTACCAATTAAGCTACTATAAAATATTGCAACAATGCTTAGTTTAATACCCCAAGCTCAGTCCATCTTTCTAATCTCTCTCTGCATGCGCAAAGATTTTCTCTACTGCCAGAAGGTCCAGATCGTACGAGTTACGACATTTCTGATTAACACCAACTATTCCAAATTTTAAAATTATCATAACATATAATTAAATTGATCAAACCAACGAATTCCTTTTTACCCCCTTTATGTTAACGGGTTATTTAAGGTTTGATCGATAATTTTCAAACATCCGCTCCATAATAACCGTTCCGTAATAAAATAACAATCTTGTTATAGAGTAACTAGTGTGATTGTTATTTTGGAACGAAATGAGTACTTACAAATTTTTGTAAATCTCTATCTAGTGCAATTAGTGATTGTTTTAAATTATGAAAGACAAAATTACAGAGTGAATGAAGCAAAGTAGCAAACTAATCCTCATTAATTTAGTAAATGCACATCACTATTACAAAGTACAAGAAAACCATAAGGGAAAATTAAAGAGAACCCCAAAATGGGAATAAAAGAAAAGCAAAATAAAAGCTTCCCTGCAGAGTATACTTCACAATGATACACAAGCTAGAACTAAAAAATTTTTCTGTAAAATTTATATCAAATTTTTTTTTTGCCCACTCAAATCCGAAGAAGAAAAATGCTTAATTCAGGGCCTCCATTTCCATCAGGATTCATCATGTAGAAAGCTTCCGAGTCACGGCTCCCAACAACTCGTTCAAATTTAGCCCTCATGTACAACAACTCCCCTTCCGACCCACTTTTCCGGCCGTCCTCCACCACCGGAATCACCCCGGCGCCGACCGAAACGCTCTGGATCATGCTCAACACGTGCCAGTCAGACTCCGTGTAAGCGCGTGAGAGCGCGTAGCCGCACTTCTTCCCGTTGCAGTACATAGTCCACATGGGTTCGTTCACCAGCTTCGCCGGCCTCCGGCCACCGCGTGACGGTGGCGCACCCTTTTCGCATTCCAGCGCAATTCTGACCAACCCGGACGACATCTCCCTCACCAGAGTCGCCGTTGTGACGGCGAGCTCGATAACCGATACCGGTTCCGACCGTGGATTCTCCTGCACCGCGAAGCTGACGTGTCCCCTCCGGTTCCCGAAGAGGGTTCCGGTCACCTTCCTGCCCAAAGAAGGCGTGATTGACAGATGGGTCGTCGTGATATTTAGCCACCGGCAAGTCGGAAGGATCGCCGGAAAAGAAATAATAGTGAGGAATGACTTCAGAATAGATGACAACCCATAACCACCGCGGGTTTTGTTAAACCGGTGAAATGTCGAAACCGGCGACGAAGACGAGGATGCGACGGCGACGGCGCCTCCGCCGCATTTCCGGACGAGGGACCGGTCGAAAAACTCGCCGGAAGGATCAGGGACGGAAGTACTTGAGGATCTCATGAAATTTGCGGGAATAATGCTGTTTGTGCTTCTGCAACTGCTGCTTCTTGGCATGCTAGCTGATACAACTTGTCTGTTATTCCTCATTTTTTTTTGTTTCTAAGATTGCTTTCAACAAAATTGATGCAAAAAAAAAGAAAAGGGATTGATATTTTGGATACCAACTTATAGAAAAAAGAGGTCTTTTGATTTTTGTGTTTCTTTTCTTGAAATATAGTGGGGAAAAAAAAGAAGAAAGAGGCCGACAGGGTGATGATAGTGTGGGAAAAAAAATATGGAAAAGGAGAACTATGGAGGGTTGTGAGAGTATAGTGTGTGTGTGTGTGTGTTTTTGTTGTTGTTGATGATGAATGATGATGGTGATGATCATTTCAGAACAGTCATGCTTCTGGTATTTATACTACTACTTTTTTTTTGGGGGTGGGGTTGGGGTGGTGTACATTAGACAACACAAAGTTGTACTACTATTTAATTTTGATGTTTTTATTTAAAAAAAAAATCAAAAAGATTGATATTGTTCTGCTCACCATTATGGGGTTTACACGTGCAGTCTTTGGATGATGAATTAAATCCTAAAGTCTTAACCAATTAAGTAGAGTAAGAGACTAATTTAACATTGTAATAGAAGATTAATTTACACTTCTCTTGTTTCGAAATGATTGTAATGCTTAAAACAATAAGAATTAGGATGTATTTGATGTGTATATGTTGAGAATTTTACGATTATTGTACTCATGACAACAAAAATGAAATTTCAAACTTTATCTCAAAAAAAAAATTAAAAAAAAATTGTTGACTTGAATATATCTCTTATGGGAGAACGGTTAGAGATAACCAAATATTTGTACTTCATGTGGAAAAATAATTTTGATGTCGTAGTTTTACGGTCCATCTACAGTATGTGGAGAATGGATGATATGTACCATAATATTTTACTTCCTCTGTCCCAAAACTATTGTCCAGTTTGGGATTTCACTTTTAGTATAATTTAAACTATAAATGAAAATCAAAACTGAACAATAATTATGGGACGGAGGGAATATTTGAATGCGTTCTTTTTCAGTGTATTTTCGCCAAGTATTCCATCCAACCTCATTAGAAGTTGTCTTCTTCTCCTTCCCCCTAATTTTTTCCCATTATACGGGGATGTGGGGATTGGTTTCTGCCGCGTTATTTTTCTTTGTTCTTATATGGGACATTTATTTAGCCTTTTAAAGTCTCTTGTTAATACTTAATATGAACGAAGGGAATAATATAACACGACGGCGAAGGTAGTGTAAATATCAGAACGCAACCCTACCGCTTTTGTCATCCCTTAACATTTTTATTTATTTTAATAAAATAATACAAAAGAAATTTCAAGGGGAAATATAAATTAATTAATTAAGATAGTCAAGTCAATGATTGCTTCTCGTGTATACTATTTGCATCTCGAATTCTCATCATAATTTTATTCATTGATGCAGAGTTATAGTGCACGCTTGAAATGGTTTAATCTTATAATTCCTATCATTAAAAGGTATTAGTCTTCTCAAATTATTATTAATAATAAGGCAATTTTGAGAACGATGGAAGCATAGACTATATATATTTGAGGATTCATGGCCCTCAACATGATTGAAGAGTCCCCTCAGTTTTTTTGCTTCAAATTCACTCTTCCTTGATTAAGGACACACAAATTTATTAGTTTAAGTTGTCCGTAATTTGCTTGTAGTAGCTTTTTCCAGTAGTTCATTGCATGCTTATGGTAGGCAGAACAATAAGAATCGGAGCTGCTTTTGGTAAAAGAAAATAAAAATGTAAAAATAAAACGTGAAATTAAAATGGTCGACAAATTACTAATACAAAAAGGAAGCCCAGAACAAATTACGAATTTCACCAAGTTTTTTTTTTTTTTTTTGGTACAAGATTTCAGTGAGTTAAGTATACCTTATTTAATTTATACATTTGTTGTTATTGCTCACAGTATATATATAAGTGTAAGATATAGGAACCTCAACAAAAAGTAATATGAATACATAGGTGCCCATGACAACGTATAAATGTGAATCCGTTACCAATGGGGGAAAAATGGATATAAGGTTGAAGACTCCGGAAACTTAATTTGCAAATGAAAGTGGCTGTAAATATCTTTCGAGAAAATAGAGTTATTAATTTTTGAAACATAATACGCAAAATTCATATGCTACCCAAAAAAAAAAAAGGGTTCGTTTTTCTTAATGAATTAATCGATGCCAATTAAAGAGAAATACACGTTTCATGTAAATTGTTTATATATATATATATATATATGTATAGATATATATTGTATATTGGACCAAGTACATTGAAAGGCCTAATTGCCTAATTAATAAGTTTTCTCAGCCATAAACCACAAACAAATTTTGAATTAAAAAAACTTTATGCTAACAATATCCACCCTCATCCATTTTCACTCGGAGTTTCTCTTTATGTTAAACTGTTGAATAGAAAATTCTTACGGCGGAAGAGAAAGTATAATATAAATCTACACTTAGCAAGTTTTAATTCCGAGTAAAAATGATGGTGAATATTGTTAATTACATGGCCGGTGTAAAAATAGGTTTATATGTGATAGTAAGGCAACCTCTTGTCGCTATCCTAGGTTGAATCCTTACATAAGCATTTGAAAATTTTTACACTTCTTTTATTATTTTTTGTTTATTTCTGCATATAATTAACATTTCGCTGACATCAAATCAAAGTTATCCTGAATAATTGTAAAAGGACGTACTGATTAAATTAATTTTCGGACGGCACCAAACAATTTATTGATTATATACACACATTATGATCGTTGGCCTAACCAATTTACGTAGGATGAGTTGACCTTCTTGCCATGTGGACACAGGTCAAACCACTAATTTTTACTATTTCCTGTTTATTGATTAAGTCTATAAAAATTTAATTAAATCTAAAATACTACTAATAACTAATTAGAGTTTGACCAAAATTTTTTAGCAACCAGAGTGAAACATTTAATAAGCATTATCCTGCAATTGTGTAGAGAGATTTGGAAATGCTGGACTCATTTTGATTGGTCAGAATGTCAGATTTTTTTTTTTTTTTTTTGATAAAGAATGTCAGATGATTGAATTGAACGTGGTTCACATCACTTACGAAATGAATCAATTAGTGTTTTTTTTTTTTTTAAGAAAACCTTAAATTATGAAGAGAGGATAATCTTAAGGCCGTCATAAGTTCATAATTTGATCCCAAAATATTGTCAACCAGGGAAGAATTGAGTCATATGTACATGTATACATGCATGCTATTTTACCAATTACTTATAATCACCCATAATTAAACTAATGATTTAATAGTATTATGAGAAAACAAATAGTCACCAAAATAATCAATGCTGGAGTTAGACTTCCTAAAAAATTTTGCTGCCTTAATACATAAGTTACTCAAACATATTCAATTTTACAATGCTGCCTTAATGGTTATTCCCTCGATCCCTTATATGCAGTCACCCTTAAGGTGCAACCATTTTACTATGATTTTTACAACATTTTTTTTTACTACTTGTATATAAATATAAATACATAAGTTACTTAAACATATCCCATTGTGCATCGCTGCCTTAATGGTTATTCCCTCAATCCCTTATGTTCAATCACCCTTAAGTTGTCAGATTTGAAACCCTTCTATTTTTACTTTTGCAACATTTTTTTTCTACTTGTATATAGATATATACATAAGTTACTTAAGCATATTTGATTGTTCAGTTTTGCCTTAATGGTTATTTCTTGAATCTCTTATGTTCAGTCAACCTTAAGGTGCCAAGTTCGAAACCCTTTTGTTTTTATTTTTGCAACATTTTTTTACTACTTGTATGTAGATATATCTATACGTAAGTTACTTAAACATATTTGATTGTACAATACTGTTTTAATGGTTATTCCCTCAATCCCTTATGTTCAGTCACCCTCAAACTGCTAAGTTTGAAACCCTTTTGCTTTTATTTTTGCAAAAAATTTTTTATTACTTGTATATAAATATATACATAAGTTACTTAAACATATACGATTGTGCAATTCTGCCTTAATGTTTATTCCCTCAATCCCTTATGTTCAATCACCCTTAAGGTGCCATGTTCGAAACCCTTTTGATTTTATTTTTGCAACATTTTATTTTACTATTTGTGTATAGATATATACATAAGTTACATAAACATATTTCATTGTGTATTGCTGCCTTAATGGTTATTCCCTCGATCCCTTATGTTCAGTCACCCTCAAGGTGCCAGGTTTGAAACCCTTTTGCTTCTATTTTTGCAACATTTTATTTTTTACTACCTGTGCACTGCTGACTTAAACATATTTGATTGTGCAATGCAGACTTAATAGTTATTCCCTCAATCCCTTAAGTTCAGTCACTCTTAAGGTACCAGTTTCAAAACTCTTTTGCTTTTATTTTTGCAAATTTTTTTTTTACTACTTGTATATAAATATAAATTTTTTTTTTACTACTTTTATTTTTTTTACTACTTGTTATAAAAATGTCCAAATGGTCCTTTACATTTGTGCTTACTTAAATTTACATCCCTAAGATTAACATTTCAATATCGTAATCCCAAACATTATGTTTTCACACTTGTTTGGTCCCATTTCACTCTTTCGACCAATTTTACGTCCAGCTCGATGTTGAACGGCAGTTGACATGCCGGAATCAGGGATTTTTTCGTCTTTTCATATAATTTGAACTTCCATTAAAATTTAAATTATTAAAAATATTATAAAAATTCACATTTATTATTTAATTATTAAAATATTACTTAATAATTTAAAATATTATTTTAAAATTTTAATTTAAATTATTTTCAAAGTTAATTTTTTTCTTTACTATTTACTTTAATGTTAATTATGTTGGACTTTTAACCTTAGCCCACTGTAATTTAAAAATTTATCGAATCACAGTAAAGAATTCAAATTCTTTTAAAAAAATAAGCAAAACCAATACCCTGAATTATTTCTTAGATTTTACCGCGTTATAGTAATTAATTCAAAATTCAAACTTTTTTTAAAAAAATACAAGAAAATTGTGGGGGTAAAAATCAAGATAAAAAATGGTTTATTTAAGTTTTTGGCTTAGTTATTGGTTTGAATTGGAGATATAATTTAAAATATAATTTTAGTGAAAATTCAAAAAGTTGTTGGTATAGTATTTCAAATAAAATAATATTATTTTTACACCACCACCTCTACACCTTCACCATCGGCGCCCGCCGCCGGAGCACCCACTGCTGCCGCTGGCCGACCGATCGCTGGAATCTCATCGGAATCCCAGCTGGCGAGCCCCGGTGGTGGAGGTGTGGAGGTGGTGTTGTAAAAATAATATTATTTTATTTTTAACACTATC